CACCATATCAACACATGAGCATACTTCATATGCATAGAAATTTGTGTGTTTAACATGCCCCCCTCCCAACAGCAGGCAAATTTAAATTCTTGCACACAGCCCTGATGAAGACAAATAACTAACTGAAATAGTTCATCATCAGGTATAAAATAACTATATCTATACTACAAGAATAACTGTCTTTAGATTGTTATATCCAGCTCAACAGAAAAAACTTACCTGACATTACCTTAAACTTCATCTTCCAACTTCATAAGATATACATTCATAAATGTAAATGCTCTTTATCATTCAAAGACAACAAATTTTTTGTTTAATAATTTATAAATTCAATTAATTAATTACTTGCTACTAAAACAGTAGTAGTTGTACACAGTAATAAACAATATGCTTTCCCATGCAAGAATTATGTCGGTTCTATAATTTTATAACAGTATTGATAAATTTAAATGAACAAAGAATAAATGGTAAGAAGAAAAGTGTAAGCTAAAACAAAAACCACAAACTGCAAAAATGAAAATCTTATAAAAACATGAAAAATTTTTTCAGTACATGCAATGCATACTTACTATATTCCTAGTGTCAATATTAAGGGAACAGAGCATATGTTGGCATGAACGAGATCCTCCCCAATGGTATAATAGAGCTGGTGTCTCTTCAATGTCCTGTAGTCGACCCCACAACATGTGGCTGGAAGTAGAAAACATTAGAATAATATATCATTAATGTCTTATGTGCTTTTATGAATTCAGAATATACAACAGAATTCTAAAACATGACAACAGAATGAAACAAGAAGGAATCCTCAATAGCCATGGAATATGAAATGTTATCAGGCAGGATTAGAGTAAATTAATTTATGAGATCTTTTTTTTTCCCCCCTTTTTATCAGTTATATTTTTGTGTGCCAGCAATACCAAGCATGAGATGTGCAAATACCCGATTCCATTTTATCACTCACCGGGATCTCTACCAGCATACCCTCAAACTGTAATTCTTATAGGCAGGATTAGAGTAAATTAATATACGAGACCTTGGGCACGGTCAAATAAATCAATCAAAAGGTTTTGACCTCCTGAACCCAAATTTGTAATTAGATCTCAAATCAAGCAAGAGATGAAGGAGCTATGAGCTAAAAGTTTGTACTTGAAAAAAACAAAAAACTCAGCCATTCTATGAGCCACTATGCCACAGCTAAAACACAAACAAACAAAGTTTAAAATATATACATAATAACTTATACATAAAATGTAATAATACCAAAATCTTGCATCTAATGCTACTCTTTATTGTCAGAAATAGTGAGAAAGCACACCAGGTATGCAAAATAACTAAAATCTTCAAGGCATAAATTTTTACCCATAGGACTCTTTACCACTGCTATTTTCTGGGGGTGGAAGACATATACTTTACTTCATTATATAAAACAACCTATATTTTAACTTAATGGTTTGAAATATATTATATACTCCATACACACATATATAAATCAAATAAAGGCTTTTATAGAGTTTTTGGTTTACCACCCCATGTGCAGTTGCTGAATCTTTGAAAACTGAGAATGTTGGGTTTAATAGCTTCTCTATTAGCAAATAGTAATACACCACATTGTACCATAAAAGTGTGGTGTTTATTTGAACTCATTTTATTTTTTAAATATGCTAAGTTGATATATAAAATATAACAAACTTTCATTTCATTTCATAAGGGAGAAGGGATTAAAGCAAGATGAAGCTTAAAAATGTTTTATTCACTAAGAATCACTGGTGTATAACAATCATGTCTTGTGTAAAACTGGAAGTGAACATCCCAATTTCCAGTACATAAAATTTGACAAGAACTGTCATTTATTAAAATTCATGATGTTTTTTTTGTGTGTAAAAATGTTTCATTTTTCACGGAAATCTTTGCCTATAAGCTACATTTTTCACTGCAAGTTGTACATCATGCTTTGGCAGCCCTGTAGTAAACACTGGGAAAAGGATGTCATATTTTACTGGCCCATATAATTAAGAAATGGAATCACTTCTGGAATTATTCACAGTCTACTGTTGTTTACACTTCCCACCAATTGTTGTTACACATTTGGTGGTATAAAATGTCATTTCTCTTGCAAAGAAGCTCCAAGTGTAATGGGTGCATTAAGTCAATGCTATTGGCTGACAAATGCATATTTTGGATGTTAATTTTCTTAAACCATGGCAGGACAAGGTATTCAATATAGTATAGTGAATTATAATCACTCCAAATATAAGGTTCTTCTTCATAACTAAATCAATCAAGCATTAAAGCATTGTATACAGGGTGTTTGAAGCTATTATTGAACAGAGAGAAAGTCCAAACCAGCTAAAACAGGCCACATTATGATACTATTTTCATCACAATTTATGGATAGATACTGTCATGTATAATGGTTACCAGTTTCACTTTCTGGTGCCATGCTGTTTTTGTAATTCCCATTTCAGTTGCATGCCATACCTAGGTTAAACATGAGGAAATGGAGAAGGCAAAACCACAGATTCAACTTATTTAATTGCATGCCAAGCCAATTAGCCAGCCTGCTAGATTTACACCATCTGTCTTCTGCAGTACAAGTTTGCTGCCAGCATGATTATAACTACTGTATCCAAATAACTATCTATTGGAGATCGTAATAAAATAGAATTCACGTTTACTGGAAATGGTTTTTTCCCACATTTCTCTTAATATGTGCATGATTAACACAAAGGTTAGGGCTATTGGCTTCTAATACTTTGTAAGCTTTAGGAATTTAAACTGTAGTACTCAATAACAAAATAGTTTTTTTAATGTAAGGTGGCTGTCACCAGTAGGGTACTGGTAAACTTTGTTGATTCAGGCACTAGTAGCATAGATACATCAGTTTCCACTCAACTTGAACATCTTTTAACTTCTGTGAAATAATTAAAATAAAACCACTATCACATGTAATTAAAATGAGCTTTGGTACTGAAAAATATTTGAAAACATGCCATAGAAGACATATACATAAATATAATATATACTAATGTGTAATACATTAAACTGTTATAACACAGTTATAATCACTTCTAAAGAATAAAAATGTTGTTGCTATTAGGAGTTCCATATTCTATGTAAAGTGAAAATCCTCAACAAAGAAATTACCAGCATAAAAATGGTGACAACAGACATTATTACAATACTTTTGAATGTTAACCTGTTAAATAATCAATAACTAAACCAAACGTAAAAGTGGAATTTGCAGAAAACGTTCTGCAAAATACTTTCCTAAAAACATTAGTTTCTACACATAACTATATACTACCATTGCTTCTGCCACAAACATACAATACACTTAAATGTACACAACTCTTTCTATTTACCATTATTTACCATTTCTTTTACTGTTGCTACTTTTTATCCTAAAACCATAACACTACACATTTTACATTTTATTTGCTTTTTACAACAGTTATCAAATTAAATATACATACAGCGTAACTTGAGGTACCACCGTGCCATGATATTTATGTATTTTAGTAAGCATACAGCAGTGAAATGAGATATAACTTGCCTTCTTGACAAACGATCTCCAAGAAACAAAGCTTCATGGTCTCCTTGATCTAGTTTCATATGGACATGCTCTTCCAAAACCTTTCCAGGAAACACTACAGTAAAGTACTCCTTTAACTTTGTGGTAGAAGACACCTAAATCGTACAAAAGTTGCATGAAATAAGAAACTTTTAGTACAATATAGCAGACAATGTTTAAATTTCCAGAGAACTGAAAAAAAGGAATACTTAATGAAAACAACATGCAAACAGACAGCTGGTCAATTATTGAAATTTTATCATCAAATAATTGTTGGGCTCATTAACATATTACATTCAATAATCAATTATTCTCAAAGGACTCTGATGATGCTTGATATAATCAACAATGGTAATAATCAGAAACACTAATTTTTAATTCTTGATTGTTTTCCTGAGTAGTGACATTAATCAATTAAGTTCAACAGCTTTTAATTAATTGAAAATAGTCATAATTGGAAACACTAAATCATGATTATTTTAATCTTTACTTACTCTATACTCAACTTATTCTACATTACAATACTACAACTGTCTGCAGAATTAAAAACTAAAACTGTAATAAATAATTAGCAATAAACTCTAAAAAAAATTTATGTTGATCTATCTTTCCTATGAACAAGTATTACTTTACACATTTCTGAACAGACACCATATTCAGGACCTATTAATGGAACTCAAAACAAGCTGAGACAATTTATACATGTTAATACCTGTTTTAAGTCTAGAAACCAGATAAAAATATCATAGCTAGAAGTAGCCTGTATGTAATGTCACAAACTCAGGTTCATTAATCTTTATCAATTTATCATTAATTATTAAAAATGATACAAAAAAAAAGACTGTTGTCTTGTATTTAATAACTGCTAGTTACATTAAGTATTTGTTTAGATATTTTTTTAATTCTTTTAACCTTTCAAAAAATTTAAGTTTACTAACAAAGGCCTCTAATGAGATCCCATACTAACATATTTTTAAACTGACTTGCCAAATATCTATCAACTTAGCACTTGAAGCCCCTAATAATGCTACTAAACCTTACTTTATTGTTGGGTGAAAATCTAAGCTTATGACTATATTGAGATGATAATATTTAGAAGATGACTACTAACTAAAAACTTTTCAAGATTTAAATAATTCTAGCTAAATATAACTGATACTGAAAATTCAAAAATTGCATAACAGCAGATGCTCCAAAATACTTATAGTTATCTTATGTATTGCAGATTTGGGATATATGCCCCAAAAGTGACCAGACAAAGGCAAGTTCGAAATGGTTAAGATTCTTAATAGATATGTGAGATTTTCTTTTGAAAAGAAATTATGACTATTTAAACAATATTTAAATTATTAGAAGATTTGACATGTACACTGAAGGGTTGAGTTGGAGAAAAATAAATTCAAATTTAGTACTTTATAGATATGAGATATGTTTGCTAACAGTGTGCTATAACTAAAAACAAGTCATATTTCTTTCATTCATTACTTAAAATTTTTAAAATGTAAGAAACAAAGTATATCTTTATCTAAATAAAAATATGAGTGTATAAAAAAGATAATTTCATTAGCTTCTGCTAAGTGTATTCATACAATAACACAAAATATAATAAGGGACAATTGGTCATTATAGGTTACCTTTTCACATCCAAACTTGAGAAAAATATAAATGTAATCCTCACCATTATTTTTCAGGAAATCATTGACTCCCCTCTTAAACTACTCTAAAGTGGTCTTTCCCTACTGCCAAAGACAGCTAATTTCTTAAACCAAAATATTAGCTAATCACCCTGTTAGAAAAATAAAACTGCCTAATCAGTCTTTACTAAATATTAAAGTTCTGTCCTCTTGTCCTATTACTTTCAGAATACAGCATAAAAAATCAGAAACCTTTATTCTATTAATTCTCTCGATAATCTTGTAAACTTCAAAAATATCACCTCTAAGGCTCTCAACCTTCTTTTCTGAAAATAAAATTAAAGATTTTAATCATATTGATATGATAATCCTTCCATACCTGGAATCATTCCACTGGCCCTCCTCTGAATCTTTTCATAAAAATATCCTTTCTTGGGTAAGAAAACCAAACTGTTCATAGTATTTCATGTTAAGCCTAACAAGTGATATGTACAGAGATAATTACCTTTTTTTCAATTTTAATCCATATGTTCATAAGTACACTCTAAAATTCTATTAGCTTTACTATGAGCAAAAGAGCATTGCTTCGATGGCTTGAGTGAAGTATTCACCATTATGACAAAATCCTTCTCCTCAGTCACACTATTAAGTGGGTTCCCATCTATACTGAACATGTGATCCAAATTATGTAAACCCAAATACATTGCCTTGCACTTACAATAACTAAAAGTCATTTATTAAATATCTGTCTGACTTACCAATTAATCCAAGTGATTTTGTAATATCTCATCATTATTAATACAGCTAAAAATAACCAAAAATATTAACCCAATTACCACTGGCTACTAACTTTCTACATAGCCAACATAAGTCTTGCTATATTTTGTTCCAACAATAAAACCAGTGGATGAAATTGTTTGAAACTTCATAAGAACTTTCATAAATGCACGCAGTTTTAGAAACATAAAGTCTGTTACTTTTGATAAATTTAGTTTTTTTGCATTATGATCTTTAATTACATCAAGAAATGGTATTTATAAAAATGATTATAAAATTTATATTTGTTCCAGATTTGAACTAATTACTTTTTATATTTTAGTACATTATTTTAAAATCTCTAAAAACTTTTTATTGTCCATAGAAAGCAAATTTTGTCTATTTTTAATTTTTTAATAATCACGTACTATTCTTATGGTTTCAAGTAATATACAAGACCCAAAAATAATATTTCTAAGTAAACCTAAACAATAGACATGTATTTTTTATTTTTAACTAGGATTTCATGTTTATATATGTACATAAAAACATTTTAATTTTGTTTCATAAATGCATTATTATTTCAAGTTTGTTTCATTGCAGCTGTACTTTTGTTTATTGTGCCAATCATAGATGGCAGGGCCAGCACTAAAGTGCAAGGGAAAAACATTTTTTTAATGTTGAAAAAAATGTTTTTCTCAGAGGGCACATATTTAGTCTCAAATGTATTTTGGGATTTTTTTTTTTTAAACTTCTCTTCAAACTTCATTAAATAATACAATTTAATACATATAATTGAATGTTATGCTACTATTTACAAAAATAAAATCTGAAATCCAATAAAAGATAAGATCTCTATAATTTTTTTAGTTCACAAATGTGATTTTGCCCTCATGATAAGACAAAATGGCCCTGGTAGGTAAGGGGTTAATGTCATCATCAAACATAATTAATTTACTAATTATGCCTCTGTCAGTATTATTAATATAAATAATAAAAAGTGAAGAACCAAGCACTGACTCCTGAAACACTCCACTAGTAATAACAAACTGGACTTCATTAATCCTTCCATTACGAGCTGGGTGGAATCCACCCAACTCGTAACCAGGAAAGTATCTACGAGAGTAATTGTACTATAATTTTTGAAAATGTAAACACGACTTTATAAAATTTTGCAGATTATTAGTAAACTTTACAAGGATTTCATACACAAAATATCTGGTTTTTGAATTATGTTTTGCAATTTTTTATTAAAGATTTGCTCGTGAATTTTTTCCTTCACAAGGTTGACTATTCAACATACAAAGTAATTTTGATTTTAAGATTAAACATACATTTCTTTATCTGAAATTTGTCAAGTTTCGTTTGTGTAATCTCTATATCCTTCTAGATAATAATAAATTTTTTTTTTATAAAACTTTATATTTAATCTGTTGTTCTATCAATATTAACATTATATGGCGTTGATCAATTTAACCGACCTCATAACCACCATAAAAATTAGGAAATAAATCTATATTACCTTTTTTGTTCTAGAATAACTGCAAATTGTAATAGGAAACCACAAAAGTTTATTCTAAATAGCTTTAATCTCTTAACAGTATAAATCTATTTCTATTTATTAATTTTTGTTTTATTGACCTTTGAACTGTGTCTGACTAAAAATACCCCCACAGAAGTTGAAAATTACATGGTGCACATGCATTGACATAACTCTATCAAGCAGCATAATGCAGAAGCCTCTGCCACGTATACCCCATGAAGGTTTTTTCTTAATAATTTTTTCTTTCATTATCTTACCTAACAACTTTCTATTTTTATGATTCTAGTTACTTTTATAATTATAAACAGTTAAAACAAATGAAAAATTAAAAACCTTGTATTTAAATATCAAACATTTTTATTTTCAGTAAAGCTTTATATTTTATTTGTTATCTTTTGTACTGTAACATACTTATTTCTCCAGGTTGTAGGTAAGTAATCAAAGTATAACAAAAATAAAGATTGCAAACTAAAATGTATATTATTGTTAGTAGTGATTACAAAGTACTTATGGTGAGAGTTTAAGCTCTCACCTTTTCACACTTATTTTCTGTAGTTATTTTATTGGTAGTAGATGAGTTAGAAATTAGAAGAAACAAAATGAAGGGTACTCTGTTCACTTCAGTACGAACAGTAAAGTTCCAATAAATATCCCAAGAGTTTCTTCAATTCTTTTTACACCTATTTCCTATTGTTATTCCACCGTTAGCGGCTGAAGTAGAAACCTGCTTAATTTAGGTGTTACCATATTTTGAGTACTTTGACACCGTCAATATCAAACAAGTTCATGAGGTGCAAATTCCCAGAATTTTCCCTGCTTTGAAAACAAAGTGGGATAGGGTATAACTTGTTGACAGTATAATGGTTACAATGACAATTATCTTAGATATTATAAAACGTTTACAGCTTTGTAGAAAGTCTGGGCTGATCCAATAACTGAAAAGGTGGAAGTATCCTACAGAAAATATTCAGATCGTTGCTCTGAGAACACAGTGGGATAGAAATTGCCAGCTTCTTTACAATACAGTGGTTGTCTAAAGAACTTTATAAAAGTGAGAGAAAATATTTATGATATGGCTCTGTACAAAGTATAAAGTTGTATCCTATCCAATAAACTTGATAGTTTTCTTACTTGGTGGTTGGGATTTAGTGTTGGAATAGGTGTAAATGCTTATGAAAATCCCATTTCCTATATTGCCATGCTTTCACAGTAACCAATAAATGTGTAGTTCCAGTAATATAAATATGGCTTGTTTTTGTTGGGTTAGTATTCTTGGCTTAGCCTTCTTGACTGTAAGTTGAGAAACAAATTATTCACCAACAAACTGCAAGTTCAACCGGGTGTTTATGTAAAGATGTTCCTTTTCATGTGTTAAGATCAA